ATTAGCTCAGAGACCGCCATGTGCACGAGACTCCCAATCATCAGTAAGTTTTCCAAGCTGCACTGAGATTCCCAGTCAGATTCCCAAGCCGCAATGAGATACCCAGTGGCATCTCCCAGCTGCAGTAACATTCCAAAGCTGCAGTGAGATTCCCAGTGAGATTCCCAAGCTGAAATCAGATACTCAGTGGCATCTCCCAGCTGCAGTAACATTCCAAAGCTGCAGTGAGATTCCCAGTCAGATTCCCAAAGCTGAAATCAGATACCCAATGGCATCTCCCAGCTGCAGTAAGTTTCAAGTTTTATTTATTAGGTATAGCCCTGTGAGCCATGCGGCCCTTGAGTCGGGTGCAACCGCAACAAACAAAATATGAACAGAGAAACATCTTAAAGCGACGACGCGCAACAGAAACATCCTGGGATAAACCAGCAAATCTTCCAGAAAAAAAACATTCCAAAGCTACAGTGAGATTCCCAGTCAGATCCCCAAGCTGCAATGAGATTCCCAGTGGCATCTACAAGCTGCAGTAACATTCCAAAGCTACAGTGAGATTCCCAGTCAGATTCGCAAGCTGCAGTCAGATTGCCAACCTCGGTGATATCCCCCAAAATGCATTGGTACTGCCAAGAAAGGTGTGAGCAAGGCTACTGAAGGTGAGCCACTGGCGGCCTTGGATTAGGCATAGGCCTCACCATCTGAAGTCACGTGATATTGTGACTTTGCTACTTACCGGTCTATTGTTGTAAATGCACTTTAGAAGGCACTTAAATTAGCTATGCATTCTCCCTTGTTTAGCACAGCAATTGGCTTTCTATTAATACCCTAGACCTGCGTCAAGCAGCTCTTACCGACATATAATTTGGCATTCACTCCGCAGTATTTGAATTTGAATTCTGTTGACATTTTTAGCTGCTGGGTGAAAATATTTGTTAATGAGTGATTATGATATCACCGACGGTCATTGTCCCGCAATTGATAATACTGGCGATACATTATGAATGTAATATTAACCAGTAACGTTTACAGGACACACATCCTTCATGCCTCTCTCATACCACGTGCAGAAGTCATTCATGCGGACTCATCCAAGTTGCGTTCAGAGGGAATAGTGGGCACTGGTTTACACACTGGGTTATTTATGAATCCGATGACCTGAGTTTGATTCTCGGCAAAGGCTTATCGTAAGTGGGCAAGTGATATCTGAACTGGTGCTGGGCTCACAGCTTTTACCGACCCACATTGAGTGGTGAAGTATGGGCAAACAACCCCCCATAACAGACGTGGCGTGGAGAGGCATTCGTCTGGCACTGGTCAGGCGGAGGGCGGTGAATGAGTGTTATTGACCACACGCATTATTTTCGTCCTTCGTGAAGGATGATTAAGATTCCTCACGAAAGTTCAATGTTTTGAGGCCCAACTTAAACTAGACATCAAGTTAAATGGCTGAAGATCTAATGGAATATAGTTTCATACTGTCGGATCAAATTTGCTCCGTTGCCCGCACAAGCCCCTTTGATGGCACTGCCAATACAAAATTACTTTAAAATAATATGGTGATACATACGGGAGCAGCAGCGGCTGCTAATCTGTGAATTCAACAATATATTTTTTATCAAGTCAATATTTGGATTCCTGCAACGCCACGTACCATAATTGCATGCAAGAGTATGCTTTGGTGCAGGGGTGGGCACATTTTTTGACTCGCGAGCCACAATGGGTTCTAGAATTTGACAGAGGGGCCGGGCCAGGAACAGATGGATGGAGTGTTTGTGTGAACTAATATAAATGACATGTTAAAAATCATTACATGAAAGAATTTGGCCTTTAACAAGTAGCAAAGCATTTATTTGCAAGGCAATTTAACAAATTGCACGAACATGAACAATACAAAAACATGTCGTAACGTGACTGATAAAACATCATGAAAACATCTGAGGCCTGCGCCCAAATCAATTACCACACTCCCGGTCAAAGTGCGCCATCTAATGGGGAAATGGGGGCATTACAGGAGAAAGGTAATATTTAATTTAATAATAATAATAATATTTGGACAAGTTCGGCGGGCCGGATTAAAAAGCCCAACGGGCCATATACGGCCTGGGGGCTGTACTTTGCCCATGTCTGCCTTGGTGTGTGCCTTACATAAGCTAAAACTGACTCTAAACACATTTTTTTTATAATGAATGTGACGAAAGCCCCGGAATTTCTTGAAAAATCGACAATACATGCAGTCGAATTTTACTTTGGTAAATAAAGAACATAGATAAAGCAAAAAATGTTACAAGCAATAGTGACTCTTGTGTTGGTTAAGGAATAAATATAAACAGGCGTATTGTACTGATACAAACTTTGTACTGAAAGTTTGTAGATTTTCATGTTGCTACTTCATATATTTCATTGAATTTTTGTGGCAGTAGGGATCTTTCTAAAACTTACTTGGTGATCTTCACTTCTCAGTTTTCAGTCATATTCAGATTTAAAAACAAATTGTATTAAATCCCCAGCCCTTTGCTTAGTGGCAAGTGGCCAAGAATGGCCGGGTGACCAAGTGAGGAAAGCATTATAATGTAGGAAAATGTAAAGTTATCTCAATAGGTGAAGTCCAACCTCCTTCTAGTGATGCAGGGCTCCCTAAAATGCACTGTTTGATTACATTTAAATCATGAAGACAATGTGACGCTGTTCACACGTGCATGTCGCTGTACGTCAGCGTTTAGTAAGACTTGTCGAATTTAGTAATTTTCACTAATTATCGATATATAATTTCAAATTATATATTTATAATTATATATCGATGTCTAATTAATTATATATCGATATCTAATTATATATCGATCTCATTGCTAGTGTCACTAGGCCCATGCAGATATTCCATGTGCTTTGCATGAAACAAGACAGCTGTTCCCAATGGCTTGAGATATCTACCGCGAGGTTTATAATCTTATATTTTGGATGTTGGAGCCTTAACATTTACACTGGATCCTAAGAATCCCAAACACAGTCTGGTGTAATTTGAGCAACTTGCACAGGTTGTGAAGATATTTCATATATTTATTGTGAAGTCCAATCGTTCGCATGCTGTCATATTTCACAATGCTGGTTACCGCAGGTTGGTGACGTGGTGTGTGCAAAATTGGTTTTGGCTATCCCTCACCATTGAATCAGAATCTTTATTTAGACCGGAGAATTCCGATGAACTCTGAAGATCTTTTTCACAGATGTACAGTAGACATTAGTCATCAGCCATTGTCCATCCGCTGCTGGATGAAGACCCCACCATGCTACTTGCCATCGTTCACAGTCCTGCGATGTCATAATCCATCTCACTCCCGCCCATGAGCTGATATCATTGCTCCATCTCCACGATGGTTCTCTGGGACGTGTTCTCTCGTCTTCCATGTGCAGCGCAAATGACTGCACTAAGCACACAGTGGAGAAACTGCACTTGGTGGAAAACCGTTCATGGCGGGAGACCGCTTAGCAACAGCGACAGTAATGGTACGATCATTATCGTCATATTCATAATCATCATAAATCCATCAGAATGATATAATACCATATGATGATGACGATGATGACAATAATACCATTGTTCTTAGCACCCCTAATGACAACCTATATTTGCCTCTTAACCACGGATAAGAGGAATGGTGGTTTCGTGACTCCTTTTATCCTCAATCACTTCTAGGAAGCCCCTCTTACCTGCAGATGAACAGATAATGGAAATAATGTACTCGGCGGATAATAGGGATTTTTACGGATCCATTCGGGGCATCGATTAACAGTCGTCGAGGATAATAGGATCATGGATAGAAGGATACCTGCTGTATTTGTACAGTGTTGACTGTATGTGTCTAATGTATATGTGCGCGTGAATGTGATAATAATTGTATATTTGAAGATGGGAAATGCAGCTCTGGACAAATAAGCATGATGAATGGCTTTGCCTTTTTTTAGAGATGTGTCCATTTGTTAAGGGATTTATAATCAGGGCTCACCTTTCACACGCATTGTATACATGCGTAAACACACACACAAATACCTTATGCCTAAACAAAGACAAAGCTCCCCCGTATAACCTCACACATTCGGGGCAAGTGCTGTTCGCGAGCACCTATGACGGGCGGCACGGCACACGAGGGGGTGGGTGGCCAGCACCACGCCCGACCAACTTTGTCCGACCTAGTGGCGATGTTTACACATCTCACCAAGTACTCGTTTGAGGCTAAGTCGACCTAGGGGAGACCCAGGTACCGATTCAGATAATCGTCACTGGTGTTGGCCGTGAGCGGGAATCGAACTTGTGCGAACCGGGTTCGTAGCGCAGCGTGCTAACCGCTATGCTACCACTCCCCATATGCCTAAACAAAAAATACAAATATCCCCGGTATATCTTTAACAGGCTGTTGGGGCAAGTGCTGTTAGCGAGCACCGATGAAGGCCTAAGCACACACATATACACAGGCACTCATCCATTCGTGTGCACATTCACACTGCAAAACCAAATTCATGCCCTACAAAGAAACAGTTTGCCCCCTTCATTAATTTGGACAAGTGCTCTTAGCGAGCGCCTATTGAGGCCAGTAAGGTGCAACAGACGGTGATGTGGCAAGCACCACATCCAGCCACTGTTGTCTTCCCAGTGCTAATCTTTACACACCGTACCAGGGATAGGCCCAGGATCTGTTCAGATATTACTTTCCCCTGATGTTATTTGTGGCTGGGAATCCAACTCGGCTAGACATGTTTTGTAGCGCAATGTGCTAACCACTGGACCACCACTCCCAATGCCCACACACACACCCATACACTTCCACGTGCACACACCTACAGACATGATGGGAAACCGCTTACAGCATCACATTGCAGTGTTATGATAATCATGATCATCAATCAGATGCAATTACCTATGCTCACAAGCCCCCTTTGCACACCGGATAACTTAATTCTTCCCTTGACCTGCCATGACGACCGCCACCATTGTGTCCCCGCGCCTCCAGGAGGATGAGGTCGTGCTGCAGAGCACGGCCACCATACAGAAGGAGCAGCTCAAGTTCTGCTTGGCCGCCGAGGGTTTTGGGAATCGTCTCTGCTTCCTCGAGTCTATCTCTAATGCCAAGGTACGACCACGCCTCACCCACACCTCACCCGCGCCGTGTGTCCCGTCGGAGGGTCACTGTCCCCCAACCTTAGGTTTATGACCACTCTCTACCACTCCTCGCCACGCTTTGGTACACAATCCCGTGATAGCCGACCAGCACCCTGTGTCTGGACCTGCGGTGTTTTTCTACACCGAAGCGTGTTCTACCACGATGGTGTTGTTTCCAGCCTGGTGGCAAATTCATAAAACACTTTACTCAAATTCCGGACGGGGTTCGCTCAGCTCTGTTATATTTTTTGGTTCAACAAAATAAGAACCACTCTCTTGGGAAAACCACCAGTGGTTGTGTTTTGGAATGATTGTGTCCCCTGTCGTGGGAATGTGGAATTGCCACTATTGGCTCAAAGCTTCCCGTGGCAATGAGCAGGAAGACAACTTTTGATACCGTCATTGCCATGGTTACCGCCGCAAACGGACTGCCAGCAAAACCCGGCACCACTTTAGTGTTGCACCATCACACGTCAAAATCAGATGGTTTTACATTAAGATTCGGGAGGAATCTGAGGAGCTATGCAGCTCTTTTTTTCCATAATGATGCCAGAAGATGTATCATATCTCATTTATGGCATCCATTTGGGAATTTCTTGTACTCTGCACTCTCACGCACAAATGAAGCGTCTGCTACGTTCAATGCGCACCGCACTACGATGCAACATTCCCTACCTGACTCTGCTGTTTTCACTTCACCGTGTCTAGATGTAACACAGCACACTGTGTCCTCCGCAAATTGATGCTCACTCCTTCGTCTTGCTTATGGCAAGTACAGTATGCGTTAATTATAGATCCAGGTTTAAGTTTGAGAGCTGTGTGATAATATATTCGGAAGTAGCATGACTCATGAAAAATAAGAATAGGTTTTACCCTCTCTGGCAATAAATCAGGTGTTAAGATGTTCAAACACCAACATTTTTGCACGGAATCCAGTCTGCATTGACCACACGTACCTGTGGTGAACATGCAAACACATACACGCTCTGATAATATATGGCATTGTCTTTGAAACTGATTGGCCTACATCAGAGACAGCCTTCTGTATGGCCTAGTCTCAGTGTCAGGCCAGTGAACGCCAAAAGGCGAACAGTACAAGGAAAATGCACGTATCAGAGTATTTATATCTCTGTGTGAGCAGCTGTATCATGGGACCTATTTTTGCCAGTGTTAAAGTATCAAACGCAAAAATAGGTACTCTTTGGTTCTTTCGGTAAAGTCACGTAGGTATAAAATAATTCACGACGTTTCGGGCGCCACACAAGCGTCTGTCATGTCTCCCCAGTGGCACCTGATGGCGACCGCTTGTGTGTTGTGCCCGAAACGTCGTGATTTATTTTATTTTGTACCGACGTGACTTTACCGAAAGAACCAAAGAGTATGGATTCCTGCAGTCACGAAAGCTTCAAATCAAGTAAAAATCGGTTTCTATTTGGTATTTTAACATCTTAACACCTGTGTTTATTGCCAGGAAGGGTAAAACCTATTCTTATTTTTCATACTTTGATACTGACACAAAAAGTCCCATGATATTAGCATGACGAGTTATTTTTTGCTTAAAAGTTGTGGCACCTTCCTGGCACAAAATGTTGCTACGCAATCCGCCGGAGACCCGGGCATAGAATGCAGTTGTTCGTGATCTCGTCCATTATTTCGTTGGAGTGGCTGCAGTCACACTGTGGGTCATCTTTAATGTTTTGCAGCGATTGATCGAGCCACCACAGTTTTTTTGGTGCAACAAAGCCACGTGGAGCAGTGGGGTGGTGCCCTTGATGAGGCTTTTGTTCAGAACCTCGGCAGGACTCCACAGTGTCCTGCAGTGGTCTTCAGTTGACCCCGCTTCATCCAATTGTCTCGCCCCATCCCAGATTGGTTTCCGGGATCTCAGTTGAGTTTGTGGGAGAGTCGCTGCAGGTCCTGGTGCAACAGGAGGCCTATGCGCCCTCAGATGTTTTTTTTTCCCAGCTTTGTTTGATGTTATGGCTTCCCGCCACTCAATGAATGCCATCGGTAAAGACACGTTGCTTTGTGAGATAGATTTTTTTGTGCCTATGATTGACTGATAATTAGGTTGGTTCAGACATTTTGCTTCAATCTAAACACAATCCTCTCTCCTAACTCAGCCAGCGACGCATTCAATAAGATGATGAAATGTTGCTCGGGGGAGAAATGCTGAGTCAAACAAAAAAAATCGATCGTTTTGACGCAAAGGTTTTTATTTCGTTTCTTGAAGCTGCAGCACACATGTCATCCCTGTGCATTGTGTGACTGTGGTGCTCATAATGGGTTTTTGGCTTCTTTGGCTGTTGCAGAATGTTCCTCCTGACCTTTCCATCTGCAAGTTTGTGCTGGAACAGTCGCTATCCGTGCGAGCACTGCAGGAGATGTTGGCCAACACCGAGGAGAAGGCAGAGGGGGTGAGTGGCCGATGTGTGTGAGGGTGGGTGTTTGTGCGTGTGTGCTTGTGTGCATGGCCTTCACATTATGGGGAGCGGTAGTGTAGCGGCTAGCTCGCTGCTCTACGAACCCGGTGACCCGAGTTCAATCCCCCGCTCATGGCCAACACCAGTGACGATTATCTGAACAGGGCTTGTGCCTCAGCCTTAAACGAGCATCTGGTGCAATGTGTAAACATCGCCATTAAGGAAGACACAGATGACGAGGTAAGGGGCCTGCCATCCACATCCTCGTGCGCAGTGCTGGCCTTCATAGGTGCTCGCTCACAGCACCTGCCCAAAAAGTATATTTAGCCATTACGGGGGATCTTTGTTTTGAGCGCCTGTGTTCCTGCAAGCAGCCCAGCGGCGTGGTGTGCATGTGCTCCATCCCACATGGGTGAAGGCACAGCGAGCGCACGAGTCTGCACAGCGGCTGAGATCCCTCAGCAAAAGGCTTGCCCATCAAATAGAAAGGTTAAGCCTTCTCTTTGGCAACGGATGAGGCTTCATTTGAAAGCTCAGACGATGAATTAAAGGCATCGAAAATTAAACGTGTATCACGGGAAACATTTTATACGCAATCACATTCCCGTAAGCAGAGGTCTTTGTGTACCATCGCATCTGGACATAGACAGATACTACTGCTGTTGGCAGGAGTCTGGAATGAGATCGAGCCTCGTGTCGTTGTGGCGTGGAGGCCAGTCACACATTGCTCACCATAATACATTAGTTGAAAGGCAATAAGGGCCGTATTCCTAGTTGTGGCTCAGCTTGGGCTTGGGCTTGGCCTCTAACACGGCTCGGCTCAGTCTTGAACAGCTCAGTTACTTTCAATGCATGAGTGGCTCAACCATGGCTTGGCTCATGCTCAGCTCATGTAAATTCTGAGCATGGCTGGGACCGTGATCAGAGCCAGCTCAAGTTAAACGTGGCTTTGAGCTGGCTCACTTGACCCAGAGCCAAGCCAGATCTGAGCCGTGACTAAGAATACGAGCCTAAGAATGGCCTGGTTTCCATTCACACACACACATTGTAATTGTTGATTTAGCCATTCATTCAGTTTATCAAAGTCCATATGGAAAGTAATTGTCCTGATACTCGCATGAGTTATAGGAGTGCCACTCATCTCCTTTGGTAGCCCTGAGCCAGCTGTTGAAATTCCTGATTCCTACTTTGCCCCATCACTCCGAATATATAAGTCGTACTAATTTTCTTTGACCAGGAGCGATGATGGAGCCGGGTCGATTCCCAATCACAATTTAAACTCGCAACTCTCCAATTTTTCCAATTTAGCGACTTACCACCAATGCCACCCAGCTGGACACACGTGTCTCTATATATGTATCCATTAACCATGGTGCCAATTTCAGACCTCAATGTTACTTCATATATCTTTTTAAAATGACTAAGCGATGAGCGGTTCATATGGTTTGTTACGTGTGTTAGGAGCACTGCATCAGTTGTACTGAAAGCGCAGATTTGAATGCTGGTCAGCCACCAGGGGTAAAACCATGTTATATACATAGAGTTGATAATTTCAGTCCAGTCACCCTGGGCTGCACAATAGTAATAATCGGAATAAAACCCCTTGCATTAAACCCATTATATATATTTTTTAAGAACCAATGCTATGGGAATCAATTTAAATGCAGCAACAACTACTTTAGGTGAGCAGTCATGTATTAGCCATAGATATAATTTTTGCCACGAGGACATTCTGTCCCGCTGCCATGCTCCCGTGATTTCATTTGCAAATCTTGTTAGCACGGTGAGCACTCAGAAAATGCAAGGTTACCTGGCTGTGCCATGCAATCAATTCATGCAATCAAGCGAAGGAAGTTGTTAGGTGAATCAGGCAGCAATCAGGAAACCGGCATCCTGCCTCATATAATTAGGGACCAGCTTGTTGACAGTCGCGCTCTCTCGTAAAGAATGATTCTTGTTTTATCCAACACGACGCTGCGGTATTCCAAATCTTGTCTGTCTGTCATGTGCAGGGCATTCAATGTGCAGAACCTTCTGATGACGATAATACAATCATTATCCACAAAAGTCACACCAAATCTTAATATTTTCCTGTAAGGAGTGTCCCGCTCAAGGTTTTTGGTCGATTCGTTTGAAAATTAATTAAGTTTGTAATTTATTGGGCACTTGCTTTGTTAAATCCACATCCTTTATACAGTTTCACTATTTTCCCCTCAAAGGAAATTGTGAATGTTATGGAACATATTTTTAAATCCAAAGAATGTAAATCCCCAAAACTTCACAACTATCACTGAATTGAAAAATACAATATATGTATAGAAAATAATAGCTTTGGAAAGGATGACCCCCCCCCCTCGACATAGGAATATTCCATTTTCATAGCTGGCTCAAGGCCACCAACAGATAAGCACATTTCATTGTTCATTTGTCGACTTGGTCCTGATACCGTGATATTAAACTGCTCATGGATAATTGATCTTGCATTTGATGTCTCATGAAGCTTATTTACACTTCGTAGCAAAATAATTTCGTTTGAATAAAGGCTTGTGTAACCGGCTTGTGCGTTATCGAATAAGGGAAGGTGGGTTGATGTAATTAAAGTTAGAATCAAGAAAAGGCCTTTAAAATTGTTTTTTTTTTATGGCGAGCAAAAGATTTCAAACTGTGGTCCAAATGCCCACTTAAATTTGTTAGCAGAAAATTCCGAGTCGATTGATCTTAACGGAGAAAGCAGGGATCATACATTATAACCACGTGTCATCTAATGCCCCATTGTGGAGTCTTTATCTTATTGACTGACCCGGTGAAATGCAATAAACTACATTAAAATGTGACAGTATTGTTAAATGAACAAAAAATAAAATAAATAAAAAATATTCCTTCTGTTGGCCAATCGGCCTTTTGGATCAATGTGACCCAGGAGAATTAGTTCAATCAAGGAAAACTCTGGACAATTGAGTCTCTCAACGGTATGGTGTGTCCTTTGAGACTATCGTGACTGTGTGGCCCTGGTGTTATCTCAAAAGCCATCCATGCACATTCTAAAGCCCAGAATTGAGCATGAGAAATTCATAGCAAACGGTGAGATGCGTTGATCCGGAAGGTCCATTTGTCAATTTAAACCTCGGTTCCTTTAGGTCAGGGCTGTCCATACTTGAGTCCCAAGGGCTCATTTAAGCTTGGCTTTGGCATCACTCAAACTTACAATTGGAAACGCTTCTCTGCAGCTTAGAAATAAAATTAAGTTAACAATTGCAGTCACATGATGCATGAGGGGGTGAGTTGGAATGGTTTCCCGGGTGGGAAAGGGACGAACTTCAGTGCAGGTTTCATGAGTGAAGTACAAACAATCATCTCTAATATCTGTTTGAAGTATAGTACATATTTCATATCTATCTTATATATATTTAATACATCCCTCTCACCATCCCTATTTTATATCTCTCTTATTAGTATTAATACATCTATCTTCTCTCTCTATTTCTCTTTATTAAGGTCTCTGGCCCGCAGCTCTTAGCAGCTTAGTCAATCTATCAGGCCTTCAATGCCAATAGTATGGACATCCCTGCTTTTTATCTCTTGAACTATTGTTTGGAATTCTCCAAGGCAGCGCCTCTTAAATTTCATTTTGATATTGACCATCTTAAATGTTAGATATGTCTGGAAAGAGGCTGTGAGCCAGTGGCAGCAATTCCATATTTCTGTTGTGGGTATCATTCTGTCTAGAGGATGACCAATGTAGACTTCCCACCATTTTATCAACCTCAGAGTGCATCCAGGATTCTGATTTTGACGATTATTCTAACTAGAGCACCACCCAGCCAACTGAAACATGCTTGATTCCTATTTTTCCTCGATAATTTGTATCGCAAAATTTAAACACTCGACAAATACTGATGTAAGGTACTGCAAGCTGTCCACATCTCACATAATGTGTATTTATCCAAATGAAAATGTATCCAGTATTAATTAAATGTAGGAATTACCTTTAGCCTCCAACCACGCAGAAACAAGGTTCGGGGAGGGGGCTAATATAACCAAATTGATTTATTTACCTATTAAGCAATTCTCACAGAGGGCAGATCGATGATGTCAATTTGTTGACGATGAAGCCTTCTAACATGTGCTGCACCTCACTATGTTGCTTAGTAACGGAGCTAGTGGAGTGCGAGGATTTACTGATTCATTGCCACCCCACCCACTTAATTATTATTTTTGATTTATGTTCATTCTAAATTAGAACGTGCCCTATAAAAAGGGGTAAAGGTGCAGCCCTGCAATACCTGGTTCACGCCACTGCTGCCAGAACAGCTTCCATGAGATGGAGCTCTAGGGAGTTTCTCTGTAAGAGGCCTGCTCTCCCATACTGGCTAGATATCTTGGAAGAGGTGAAAGTGTACACACTTTGCCCCACCACACATGTCCTTGCTAATCGACTGACTGCAGTGTCCCCATTTATACTGCTCGGTGGACAGAGGGTGGGAAGATTCAAGACATTTGCACCATCGTTTCAACTGCCACACCGGGAGGTTACATTGTGACCTCTGGATTGCAAGTCCAGTGTGCTTACCAACAATTCCAATCTGCGTGGATGGAATTGTTGGGTGCTTTGTCACAGCTCCACATGGCTACATTTGACAATAGAGTAATAATTCATTCAATGAGCCCCAAACAAAAGCCCCGGATTTTGTTATTGCTCGGGACTGTGGAAGGAAGTAATAGGAGGCCTGATATTTTATAAGATTCAAGATGGTGTCACATACAGAGGGTTTGCCATTTTTCGACTTAGATATTGGTTTCCTAGCACTTACTTTACAATCACTTTGCCTGTTTGAGGTTTTCTTCTTGACTATTGAGATGCATTTTCAAATCAAGTAGATATTCCTTGTGTCGTACGTGCTGCAGTACACAAAAGTACAACTTGCAAGTCACCAGTGCTGTTTTGCGATGATTAATGTGATCACACATGTTGATCACCTTGACTCGAATATGTG